GTTTGGTATACGGAGGGCGGTGTCAAAGTGTACCAAAACAAATGGGGCAGAACTCTGTTCCAGATCTTCGGCACCGCTTTCCTCAACTTAACCAAAACAGTCACCGTTAAGGCCGATAACATGAATAATGTCATACTTTCCGCATCCACTATGAGATACTCCAAATTCAAACAAGTATTGCATTATTATTTCAATTCTTTATCAAAATATTTTCATTAATTACTTTACACATAATTATAGCTGGAAGAGAGGCTAATAAAACTCAAGGAATCCAATCTACCGGTGCTTCTAGTGTTTAGTGAAAATGATAGACTCATAGAGAAAGAGATTTTCTACGAAATGGCAACAATTCTGGGCGCGAAAGATGAGAATATCGCCATTTATGATGAGAACGGATCTCTTGAAAAAGATTGTATGTCTTCATTGGTATTAAATCATACTTTTATAAGTAATTAATGTTTCATTTTTTAAAAAGACACAAAAGACGATACAATAAAAGTGGTCTCATTTCGCTCCGGAGGACACTATTGTTTCTTAAAGTACACACAAGTGGTTAACAAAGCCTGTGATCAACTTCTCAAGACATTAGACCATGAAGTTAATAATGAAGTCATTTGTGATACAAACTAATTTGAGATTAGATTTATTATAATACAAAATTTTAATGTCATATACAGAAACAGATAAAACAAAATGATATTTTTAAAATCATTTACTAATTTTTATAAAACTTATTTATAAAACTTGTAGAATATTCAGTTCATTTGAACTTTGATTTGATTTAAAAAATAATTTTAATTTAATTAAATGTAATGTAATGCGTCTAAGAATATTTAGTAATAACTTATTTAAATTAATAAATATAATTCTAGGATAACTTCACAAAATTAGAAAATATTAACAAAAATAATAATTAGTCTAAAAATTTCAAACTATTGACTCGATCCAGAAGTGGTGGACAAGAGTTTGTTGAGAGGAATATAATCTACATTTAATGGTTCACTCTTGTGGTCATACGTGAAGAGTTTGAATATGAATAGGGCGGACATAAAGCCAATTAAATATCCGGTGAAAACATCGCTGGAAAAGTGCCAATAGTTCTTCCATTGGGTGTAACCGGGATATAGGGATGTGATGGCTATCATCGCATAGAGGATCGGCAGAA